GGGCGTGGCCTTGCTGGGGGAAAGAATCCCGAGACCACCGTCGCACTGCCACCCAGCTGAGCGGTGAACCCGGGCAGTGGGCGGAACTGGCATTCGGCGGTGGGCTGGCCTAAAGCTAGAACTGCAGAGAATCGCCAGGAGGAGGCATCTGGAGGGAAACCCGGGCCGTGGGCGGAGCCATAGCAAATTCAAATCCCCGTCTGGGCGGGGCTTCAGGGTTAGGGGCGAGGTCCAGGGCCTCCCCCACCACAGTGCGCCCTCTCACCTCCTCCTCTTGGGATCCCTTCTCGCCGGCCCTCGGGCCCTCGCCTCGTTCTTGCTTGACAGCCACCACGAAGCCCCCATGCTGGCCCGGAGCCTTGCCGCCCGCAGTCCTGGAGCCAAGGGACACCACGGTTACCCCCACCCCTAACCCCGACCCAAGCTGGAAGTAAGGCGCCTGAGTCCTGGGAGGAAGGGTCGGTACAGGGGCGCTCGTGGGGACAGCAGGGAGCCCCTAAGAGGACCTGAGTCCCTAGACGCTAGATTCACCGCCCCTCGACGGACGAGTGGGCAACGAGGGACTCGGGTCCTGGGAGTCAGGGTCGGGACAGAAGTGCTACGGAGCCGGTGGAAGACCCCTGGAGGAACGGGAATCCGGGGTTACGCGGGGAGCAATCGCGGGAGGGCCCAGAAGAGGCGGGCCTCTCGTGGGTAGGGGGCCTCAAGACCCTGGGGCGGGGATGGCGGAGCTCCGAGGAGGCGGACGGAGGCTGGGCTGCGGTCCCGAGTGAGCTGGGGGAGGGGATATCGCACTCACGCAGCGGCCGCGCCGGGCTGCTTGGGGCCGTGGGACATGGCCACTCCTGGCCGCACCTGGAACGCAGACGCGCGGCCGAGTGAGGGGTAACCAAGCGAGGGGCTTCAGAGCCGCTGACGGTGGGACCCGGCTGGGAAGCCGGGCCCAGGGCGCATGGGGGGGCTGGATCCGGGGGCGGGGAGGCCCTCGAGGGCGGGCGCCCCAGGGATCCTTTGTTGGGCGATCACCTCCCGGGAGAAGCCGGTCCCTCACCCCCCGGCCCGGAGGAGGGCCCCGTCCCGATCCCGGGATCCTCGCGCCCCCGCCCCCTTGCAAGGCCCCGAGTTCCGCGGCTGTTTTCACCTCCAAAGAAACTTTCCGGGACCTCTCGGCTGCTGCGACGCTCCAACCAACCGCCCGGAGCCCGCCCCCGCCACCCGCCCCGCCCCGTCCCGTCCCTGGCATGCTAATGAGACCCCCGCGAGTGGTCGGATTGGGTGAGACATTCTCCTGGGGCGTGGCCATGCAGATGAGGATCGGCGCGCCCGTTGGCGATTGGCTGGGAGTGCCGCGGAGCCGCGTGGGAGGTGGGTAGGTAAGGCGGCGGGAGGTGCGTCAAGTTCGGCTGCGCTCGACCACTCTCGGGACCAATCAAGGCGCTTTGAGACCTCGATGGGTGGAGCCTCTTAAAGGGCCAGAAGGCGCGGTGCGAATTGCTCCTCCTGGGCTACAGGCTAGATACGCGGCCCGCCGGCTCCGAGGAGCTACGGGGCCCGCTAGCGCCCCGCCCCAGTTGTCATAGAAACGGCGGAAGGATGCCCGGGAAGGAGCTATTGTCCTGCCTGCAGCATCCGCCTGCCCCTGGGCGAAGTAGGACTTCGGAGCACCCGTTTGGGGACGTTTCCTTTTTATTTGCTCATCGGACTCGAAGCCCTGAGCCCCTCTGGGCCTGGCCCTAGTTTGAGTCGAGGGCTCCTGCACTCGGGGCTGCCCAACCCCCAAGGCCTCCGCTGCCCTTCGGCGAAATGGGGACCTGAACCCTGCCTAGGAGTGGAGGCTGGGATGCCGCGTAGGTGAGACCAGGCGGGGTCGGGCTGGGACTGGGTCAGTAGCTGGGCTGGAAGCACTGGAAAATGCAATGGATGCGGCGCAGGCTGAGCGGACTTGGTGAAAATGAAGGGCAAGGAGGCCCCCCCGTGGGATTTTAGGGACCCGCGGTCGGCAGATGAGCTTAGCGCTTGGGCCGGGACTTCCCCTGCTGGCAGGCTACAGCTGTGGACACTGCGTGCCCACGATGCCCCAAGCGATCCTAAACAGTTGACCTCATTTCCCTGCACAATGCGCCATCTCATCTACTTCACGCTGGCCTCCCTGATGTTCCTCAAATAGGTTCGTTAAATTCCCATTTCTGGATATTTTGCACCCTCTGTTCCCTCCACCTTGAATGACCCTCCCCAGGATTATTGCCCTGGTTCACTGCTGAACCTCATCCAGGTTTTGCACAAATCTCGCCTCCACAGGCTTCCCCAGACTTGTTTCTCACCCCACACACCCCCTATTATTTTTTCTCTCCTTTCGACCTGCCTGTTTGCTGATTGTTATATCCCAGCACCGAGGCAGGTGCAGCTGTGTTGGAAAAAAGCCTCGCGGTGCGGCATCTTAGGGTGCTAAATAAGCATGGAGTTATCATGCAGTCCAGCAGTTCTGCTCCTCAGAATACCCCGTAGAGAACTGAACCCTTGTCCACGTAGAAACTTGAGCACAAATGTTCACAGCAGCATGATTCACAACAGCCAAAAAGTAAAAACTGCCGAGTACTCATCAGTTCATTAGTGGATAAACAAAATGTGGTCCATGCATGCAGTAGAAATTTATTGGCCATAAAATGGAATAGATTGGCCCTCACTGGTGGCACAAGGCATTAAGTCTCAGCACTATGAAGCTATCTGTAGCCACTGCAGCATTGAGCCACAGGGCCCAGCAGACCTCTCCTGTCTCACCCTCTGCTCCCCTCAGCAGTGTGTTTCAGTGGATCTGCCTGTTCTGCTCCCCACGCTGTCCCTGGTGAATCTTCTCATGCCCCGCATCCCCGGCTTACACCCCAGCTCTGGCATGCATAAATAATTTTTTGTTTAAAAAGGGGGAATTCATGGCTGATTTATTTCACAACAGAGATGAGTTTGAAACATGACCACACAGTATAATTCCATTGATGGTAAATGTCCAGAACAGGCCACCCACACACAAAGTCAGTATCTCATGGTTGCCTGGGTGGGGGGAGTTAGCAGGAAGTGGAAGCGCCTGCTGACAGGCCTAGGGGCTGTTCTTGGGTAATCTAAGTGTCCTAAAATTAGATTTCAGTACTCTGTAAATACACTAAAACCCACAGAATCTTACACTCTAAGTGGGCACATTGTATGACAGTCTGTTTTCCTCAGCGGTCAGTCAAGGGCTAGGAAGTTGACCCAGAAAACTTGACAGACAGAGATTCCAGACCCTGTTCTGTTGCTTCACCTGCTTACCTGTGATCCACACCTTCACACATCCCTCAGCCTACCTGAAAACAATCAGGTGAGACTTCCAAGCTGGAAGACAGGGGAAGACCTGCCCTGTGATGCCATCTGTGTCTTGGTTGATGCGCTGTATTGCCATAGAAACTGTGCTTCCACTCTCCAAGGAACCCCGCAGGGGTTTGTGGCTGATTTTGGAGTAACTTGGCATCAGATGCCTTGCTGCATGAGTATCTTCTAGAAAGAGAGACGCCTCCAGTACAGGTGGCAGCCAGGCCCGACCAGCAGCTCCTAAGATGCCTCACTTTGCAGCTGTCGTTCTTCTAGCTAAAACTGGATTCTTCTATCCCAAAATTATGGAGCCCCTTTTCTTTCTTTGTTTTATTTATTTATTTATTTTTAAAGATTTATATTTATGGATACAGAACTGGGTTACTGACCAAAGGAGTGGTGGGTGAGAGGATTCACCAGAGACAGAGTGGGGAGCAGAACAGGAAGATTGACGAGGTACACTGCTGAGGGGAGCCGCGGGCGGGTCAGGAGAGGTCTGTTGCGCCATGTGGGTCAGCTCCCCGGTGGGGGATTGAACTTGTGCTGCAGTGGCTTTGGAGAGCTTCATAATGTGGTGCTTTAACCCGTTGCGCCACCAGGGAGAACCCTATTTTATTTATTTTTTATAAAAAAATTTATTTGGGTCCTCCCTGGTGGTGCACAGCACTAAGAAGCTAAAGCCACTTCAGCACAAGTTTGATCCCCGCCCCAGAGGTGACCACATGGCCAGCAGACCTCTCCTGACCGCCTGCTGCTCTCCTCAGCAGTGTACTTTGTCAGTTGGCCTGTTCTGCTCCCCACTCTGTCTCTGGTGAATCTTCCCACTTATTTGTTTATGCAGACAGATCTGGGGTCCAGGCCACAGGTGCTGGGGCGGTGAGAGGCTTCACCAGAGACAGAGCGGGGAGCAGAACACGCAGATCAACAAGGTACACTGCTCCGCAGGAAGACAGCCCTGTGGATCCCAGGAAATCAAAGGAAATCGGCAGGGAATTGCTACCTGTCGCTGCTTGGAAGCAGAGACTTGGCAGTTTCAGTGCTGGACGGGAGGTGGCACCTGTGTGGTCCAGCCAGGAGCCCACAATTACAGTTCTCAGCAGGGCGCTGGCACCCGGAGAGCCTGGCAGGGAGCCACAGAGCCCGATAGCTACACAGAGCTGAGACTTGGCCCCTTGGCCACCAGGCAGGACCTGCATCAGCTTTCCTTCACACACATCTTTCTCAGTTCCTAGCTCTCAGTGAAGCCCTGATGGTAACCGCCCAGTTACAGAAATTTGTGTTGCTTTCATTGCATTCAATCTTATGTTTGATTCTGAAATTTTTATAGTGAGGAAGCAGGAACAGTATCTAGATTTGTAGCCTTAGAAATACTTGTTCAAAAAAAAAAATCCACAAAGTAATCTGCTAGTATATTTATTGAAAAAAAGAAATACTTGTTCATTGAGGATGACTTGAATGTTTGGTTTTGAAATTAAATTTTATTATACAAGTAATGTGTCAATCCATTTCATTTGTACACAATTAAAGGAATGTAGCTAAGGCGACCGCATTGCTAACATGGGCCACTCCTGGCTTACTGATACTTCACACACACACACACACACACACACACACACACACACACTTCCTGGGGCTGCAGCAACAGCACCACAGATTGGTGCCTTCAACAACAAATGTATTGTCTCACAGTTCTGTATTCTCACAGAAGTCCAAGGTCAAGGACTTGACCAGGCTTGGTTCCCTCCCGTGACACAAGCTATGCAACATCTATGGTCTGACAGACTCCGGGTGGATCGGGATAAGTTCTGAAAAATCAGACTGTCCACTGCTAACTTATGTTATGACCTTCCTTTTTTGTATAATCATAAAATCAAAATATTCTGAGCAACATTCAGTTTACAACTGGAGTGTCTTAGCCACACAGGCAGCTGCCTGGTTCAGACAAGCTGCCCCAGGAGGAGAAATTCCTCTGTCTCCTGAGACAAAAGGCAAGCCCCAGGAGAAATAAGACCCCAGGACATAAAAAACTCCTGGGCTTCCTTGGTTTCCTTAAATAAAAAAGCAAACCTCAGAAAGGGCTCCCAGGGCATAAGGACTCAGGGACAAATTTTAACCTTGACTACACAGGTGTTGTTTGATACACAACTGTACAACTTTCTCTTAATTTACTCCTTTTTAAAACAAGCACTAACTACTCTCTGCCAGCCTTAAACTAGCCACTAGCTTTTCTTTAGACAATCACTGATAACACTGCTAACACAATTTATTACTATCCCAAGACCCCTAACAACCTTTTGCTAACAAGCTCACCCTTTCCCAGACCCCTCTTCCTTTGAGTGATAACTAGACAGCTGTACTCATGATAACTATCACAAAACGTATCATCTATTATACCCTAAATTGTTAAGACAAGAATGCTTTTTCCCCTTGAGAATTTTTATGGAGATAATCTCATTAAGTGACCCTATGCATTATTACAATTAACTTCTTGCTACACAGTATACATAAAGACCTGCTGAGGGAATGGCAGGAAGACTTGCACCCGATCCTGACTCCCATGTCTTCCTCGCACCCGCTCCTGTCTCCCCTTTTGGAATCTCTCCCCGATGCCTTCCCATCTTAGGGTCCTGCCTGTGCTGCCTCCAGACACCTCAAAAGTTGGAGCAGGTCTCCGACACTCCCGGGTTGTGAGGAGGCTTCGGTCCGTTGCTGTCCCCTGCAGAGGCATCACCCAGAGCTCTGCCTTCCTGTCCACTGTGAAATGTGTGTGTTCCAGATTCTATGTCTTTCATACCAGGCCTGCTGGACCAGGGCCACCCTCATCCAGGGCCGCTCAACTTTTTTTTTTTTTAAGATTTATGTATTTATGCATACAGAACTGGGGTACAGGCCAGAGGTGCAGGGGGTGAGAGGACCCACCAGAGACAGAGCAGGAAGCAGAACAGGCAAATGGACTGAAATACACTGCTGAGAGGAGCAGTAGGGAGACAGGAGAAGTCTGGCCAGGGATGAAACTCATGTTGTGGGGGCTGCAGAGCGGAGAGCCTCATAGCGCGGAGACTTAACCCCAGGGAGAGCCTGGAGCTGCTCATCTTAATTCATTATATCTGTAAAAACTTCTCAAATGAAGTCACCTTCTGAGGTTGAGGAGGTTAGGACTTCAACCCACTAGTTTTAGGAGACACAGTGCAAAGCACAACACACGCACATAAGCACCTACACACAGACTCACGGGTGCTGCTGTGAGAGATGTGACGTCACGCCTTGCTTTTCGTGAGCACACTGTCCCATGGAAACGCGTCTCCAGCCTCTCACGCCACCTTTTCTTCAAGCTGCTCTACGCGCCAGGCACCCAGCACTGCTTTACTCCCTCTGAGGGCTTTGGAATATCCCTTGTGTCTGGGCCAGGAGGTAAGGCGTCCTGACGGACACCACTGTGACCCTGGCGGACACGGCTGTGACAGTCCCTGCATAAATGCCCGGCTGCTTCTCCAGCGCAGGGAGGAAGACATGGGGGGCAGCCTCAGTGCCTTCCGTTTACATGTCCAGTGGCTATTTGCAACGCGGGCCAGCTCAGCTGCCCACTGCCTCCCCAGGACTTCTCAGCCAACCTCCCTCTTTGCTGCACAGCGAGTTTAAGACCCTGGGTTGCCTTCCCAGGTGTGGGGGGGAAGCCGAGGTGCCAGCTGCTGGAATGAAGCAGTGTGGGAAGGGACCCTCAGACCTCAGGAGGGGGCCACCCACCGTTGCTGGACCCAGGGAAGCTGAGGAGGTGGGCTGCCCCCAGCAGTGTGACTTGGCCAGCTTACCCAGCTGGCTCTGCGTTGCTGGGAAGTGGAGCAATAGCCCTCTGCGAAGTCAGATAACGAGCTCTAACTTCAGGAGGTTCTTGGATTTAGAGAATTGAATTCACACTTGCAGTCAGGGCTGCATGAAATGTTAGCAAGGCATGCAGGAGACTCAAAGCTGGAGAATTCCCCTACCTCCACCCAGCCCCAGGGTGACTTGGCCCCAGGGAGCATCTGGTGATCTCTAGACTTGCTTTGTCAACAGCTGGGCAGTGGGGGAGTTTGTAGGTCCTGGGTCAAGGCTAGGGAGGCCCAGTGCACAGGAGAGCCAGCTGCCTGGGCAGGACCGAGCCTGGTCCAGGCTCCGTAGGGTCTGGGTGTTGGGAGTGACCAAATGCGGAGATTTTCTGAGGGACTGCATAAGGGCAATAATAAATCAGGCCTTGCATCCAAAAGTGATAAGGTGGTAATAAATTGGGCCTTGCAGCTAATTAATCGGAACGGGACTAGATGAAGGTGATAATAACTGGGCCTTACATCAAGGACACAGGGATCAGTCACCCCTTTGAAATCTGAGCTTAGGACCTATATAAAGACCCTTCCCCCTTATTGAGTTGGCAGTAGCTGCGGACATCACTCTAGGGGCTCCGTCTCAGCTGCTGTCCCAGAGCAATAAACTCTGCTTGCTCAGCCTTTCTGCCTCCCACCTTCCTTTCTTGCAGCCGGTCACAGAAGTTGGGACAAAACACTGGGCAGGGAAACCCCGCTGGGGCGGACCATCCTTCACCTGCTGAATCTCCTCAAGGCCTCCCAGGAGCCCTGGCCAGAGGTGCGACCCTCGGGTTTACAGACAGGGAAACTGAAGCTTGGTGGTTTACCGGAGTCCGCTGGATTTGGTTTCGGACCCTCCTTCCCCCAGTCACTTTGGGAAGTTTTTGCTGAATCTCTAAACCCTCCTTCCATTTCTCACCCCATCCCTATCCTGGACCTACCACAGGAGATCAAAGCACCGACTGGCTTCCTGAGGCTGGACAGGGGCCACCAGGATATCCCCTCTCCTGTTGGAGGGGGTGAGGGGACGCTGGTCTGGCGTTGGGGTGGACGCAGGTAGAGCCGCTCTGGGACATCAAAGTCTGTCTGGATTTCTCTAGCCTGTCAGTCTATCTCCCCCCAGGACCAGGCATTCTTCTTCTTCTTTTTTTTTTCTAATGTGTTTATGCACACAAGAACTGAGGACAGGCCAGAGGTACAGGGGGTGAGAGGACTCCCCAGAGACAGAGTGGGGAACAGAACAGGCAGATCCACTGAAATACACTGCTGAGGGGAAGCAGCTGGAGACTGGAGAGGTCTGCTGCGCCCTGGGGGTCCCTTCCTGACCTGGGATTCTATTCAGGTTGTCACATGGTAGCACTGAGACTTAACCCCTTGGCTACCAGGAGGCCCTAGGCTAGGATTTTAAAGTTATCTTTCATTTCCCCTAGAGACATCTCAAGGGAGCAAACCTACAGAGTGGAAAGAATTGAAGTCCTTTCTCTCCTCCAGTAAAGCTCTCCCCTTTCCTATCTCTTCCCCTGCCAGTTCTCACTGGCATCTCCACTACCCTCTATACCCGTTTTGCAGTTTTTCAGGCTTCTTTTCATAGAAGGGTAGAAGTTGTGGTGGGTCGCCTCAGTGTGGGCCCCTGGGCTGGGTACACCGTGGGGTATCCCAGCCTGAAGTGTGTAAGAGGGTAGCTATCTGTTTTTCAATTTGTATCTGCACTTCTGATTCTCCTCCTATTTTTTCTTTCCACCCATCGTCATTAAACAGGTATTTCCAGAGCTCCTGGGATGTGCCTTGGATAAAGCAATGACCAGGGTCCAGTGGAAGAGACCCTTACAGTTTGAGGATGAGGGGTTGGGAGTGATGGTGTGAGAAACTGGGGAGCAGGGTACTCAGAGAAGCTTCTGGATGAGAATTAAACAGCTAGCACTTGTATCACGTTTAACATACATTATCTCAATTATCTCATGGTAGAGACTAGGGAGACTTAGCCCGCAGGACATTTAGTGACTAGCCCTCCGGGGCAGCTGGATCTGGACCCCTTAATTCTGGCTCGAGTGCAAGTTTTAAACCAGAGCTGGAGGAGGTCTGCAGGGGGTTGGGGGGAGGTGTCGCCCAATGGTTGCAGGCACCTCAAACTCCTGGGACGACAATCCAGGGCCAGGGCCGGGTCGGCACAGGTCCCCAGAGTAAGTACCTGAGTCCCGGTCAACCCTCTCCCTCCTCCCGGCCACCCCTCTCCCTCCTCCCGGCCACTTTCCAGCCAGTAAAGCGGGAAGAGGCCGGCGCTGCCGCGGTGAGGGAGTCCACGTGGGGCTTGGCACAGTCAGCGCTCATTAAATGCCGGCTGGTGTTATTATTATGATCACCCCCATTATTATCCTCAATAGCTAATTAATTAGAACTAACGCGTTCTCCCCGGTCTGCCTGGGCGTCTCGCGGCGGGAAGTAACCTGATCCCCCACCCCCTCCGCGCCGGGGGAAACAGCCAGGACTCAGCCCAGCCCAGCCGCTTTTCCACGTTAGACCTCGTACAGGTGCGGGCAGCCGGGGTGGCGCGTGCCGGGAGGCGGGGGTCTGGGTAGGGGCGCTACCTGCGACGCCCCCCACCTCCGTGCCGGGGCCCCACAAACCCCAGCTGGATGGTCGGCGCTAGGACCCCGCAGCCGGGCGAGTGCCCAGGGCCGGGGGCTGGCTTATTTCGAGGCCACACCCACTCCCTGGCGATTGGCTCCGGGTCCCGCCGCCCGGCCCCAATTGGCGGAGGCGGCCGCCTCTCCCGGGATTCCCCGCCCCCCCAGCTGTGGGTTTTGCGGCGGCGGCGCGTTCCCTGGGCGGATCCGGCGAGGCGCCGCCGGCGCGGGCTGAGGGTTGAGGTCCAGCCTGAGGCCTGCCTGACCGCCCTGCTCAAGGCCAGGGCGTTGTCATGGGCCCGGGGCCTCCGGCTGCCGGTGCGGGGGCGCCCCCGCAGCCACTGCCCCTGGCCGCGCGGCTGAGCTACGCGGTCGGCCACTTCCTCAACGACCTGTGCGCGTCCATGTGGTTCACCTACCTGCTCATCTACCTGCACTCGGTGCGCGCCTACAGCTCGCGCGGCGCCGGCCTGCTGCTGCTGCTCGGCCAGGTGGCCGACGGGCTGTGCACGCCGCTGGTAGGCTACGAGGCCGACCGTGCCGCCGGCCGCTGCGTCCGCTGCGGCCCGCGTAAGACTTGGCACCTGGTGGGTAAGTCCCGTCCGAGCCGCGCCTCCCACTTCGCACCGCCCGTCCAGTGCCCGCGGCGGCCAGGGCCTCCCCCTGTCTGCCTGCCTGCCCGCGATCTCAGCCGCAGGGCTTCTCTCCGACTGCCCGGTGCCCCCCACCTCGTGCTGTCCCCGGGCTTCCCCGTCTTCACTGCCCAGCAGCCTCCCTGCGGACCCCAGAGCTGGAGGCTCCACCCTGTCAGTCTGTCAGACGGCCAGAGAGGTTCCCTTGAGTCCTGCTTCCTCCTGTCACCTGAGCCACAGGCTGTCTGAATGTCCCGTGACCGGCCCGCCCCCATGTCCAACACATAGCACCTCTATCTGTCTGACCCAGGAGCCTCTCGGCTGTCTGCTTATCAGCCCTCTGCCCTGTCCTCTCTCCCTGGCCAAGCCCCCCTTCCTGCCTGCACTGCTCGCAGACTGCGCCCTGGTGCTGTGATCCCCAGGTGGCTTCGCCTGGTCTCTCTGGCCCAGAGTCAACCCTGAGCCCTGTCTGGGTGGGTGCTCTGCACTGCTTCCTGTGGGTCTGCTCTGCCGTGACATGTCCATCTGTCCCTGGTGAGATCACCTGACCGCTCTGAGGTTCAGGGACAGAGTTCCTCTCTGTCTGCCTGTAGGTCCCATCCTCTGTCTCCTCTCTGGTCACCTGGTACTTGGAGGATTTGGGGGTTGCCGTGGGAGCAGGATGAGTGAAGAATCAGGGTCTGTGTCCTGCTTCTGTTCCACACAGGCCAGTGGGGAAGGGCGTCACGGGGTGGGTAATGGGGTCACACTGTTCTGCAGCTATTGCCTGGACCAGAGGGGTGTTGGTGAGGGCAGGAGACAGATTCCACATGGGTTGGGACACCCCGCCCCTGTGCTCCCCAATGATAAGGCCTCCCTCCCGATAGGTGACCCTTTGCCCACCTGTACTCTGGGCCTCCAGATTAACCCCAGCCACTCTCCACTCTCCCTGGCAGAAGTGCCTGCAAGACCCTGGCCTTTGGGGCTGCAGAGAACTTCGGAGGCAGAGTCAGGAATTCTGCCACTTCTGGAATTCCAGGCTTCAGCTTTCTAGAAGCTGCGAGTGGCTGGTGGTGTCTCCTTGCCCTCCAGAACAGTGACCAGGGAGGTATGATTTGCCCCAGGTAATCTCTCGAGTTGTTTTTGCAAGGCACAGCAGCAGGCCTGCAAGTGGCCATAGGGCAGTGGAGGGGGAGGAGTGGAAGACCTGGAATTCGGTTTCTTAAGCGCGGAGACACCCGTTCTGACCCGTTCTGTTCTTGGGTCGTCCCCTCAGACGCTAGCAGCCATCAACGGGAACAGGCAGAGGCAGAGACTGAACCGAGTGAGCTCCTCCCGTGAAGAGGAGCTTTATAGAGGGGCCTCCTCTGGCGGTGTTGGGGTTGTCAGCAGAGCTGCACCCACACCTCAAATACCAGTTGTCTGTGATCAAGCAGCCTCACCGACAAACAGGGCAGTTCCAGGCCTGGCAGATGAGATGCGAGGGGCTCTTTTCTCTGAGCACACAGGAGATCCCCTCTGGAGCTTTGAGCCCGTCTTGGGACGCCTCCTTGGCATGTGCAAAGGCCAGAGGGCGGGGGTCATTATCAGCTTGAAGCCTTCAGGGCCTGACAGTGCCGCTTTCACAGGTAAGGGGCTGGGGTTCAGCGAGTGCCCCACATGACTGGAGAGCAAGAATGTGAGTGCCCCTGCCCAGGTGTGGGTGAGAAAGGCACCTTTGTAAGTGCAACGTTGAAGACTTTGTGTTTGTGGGAAACAGGCCTGGGGGATGTGTCTCCATCTGAGCCCCTTCCCCATTTGGGGTGTGTGAGGAGACCCAAGGAAGCTATGCGCAGAGGGGAAGCCCAGGCAGCTCCTTGGGGTGCCTGATATGGTGACTTCAGTAAAGGTTACCTCGGCAACAGTGACCACTTCTCTAATTGCACCTCTGGATCTGTAGGTGAGGATCATGGACTCACTTTTCCCTTAGCAAGCTTTCAGGGATTCCCCGCTATTCCAGAGAAGATCCTTAAAGCCATATATGAACATTCACTCCTGTGGGGTGGGTAGAAGGCATCGGATTTCATAAGGAAGAAGTAGAATTCTGGCAGCAAGGACACCAACGGTGGGGTTTTGGAGGATGAGTAGGAGCATGTGTATCATTTGAAACAGCATACACAAAGGTGTGAATATGGATTTGAAGTTGCTGAAGCATGCAGTGGCTCAGTGGATGTAGCAGGAGCACCCCGATTCTACACACTCATCCTTAGCTCTCATGCCGACAATAGCTGCCATCAGCTCCCCTGTCTAAAAGCTGAGACCAGAGCGGTCGCCAGCCTAACGTCTCCGGGCCTGGCTGCTTGGCCCATTACAATGGTCGGCCTGGAGTTTGGCCAGGGCAGTATGTTCTCCTGAACATACTGCCAACAGTTTGTGCCTGATCTGGGGTGTCGCCAAGCCCCCAGACTCTATCAGGAAGCCTCTCCCAGACACGAGTTCCAGAGAAACAGAAGGGTGGTTTTAGTTTCATTTCCCCCATCCCAGCACTGCGGGGCAGGCCCAGGGTCTGGGGGATGAGGTCACCTCCGGAGCGTTGGGAGCAGAGAGGAAGTCAGTCCAGCTGGCATGCTGTCCGGGCCCCTCCAGTAGCTCCTGGAAGGGAGGCGCAGGGCGGGGGGAGGATCAAAGCTCAGGGCTGTCAGCTTTGTGGCTTTCTCAGTGAGCTTCTGCTTTTCACTCTGGAAAAGAGAGGTAACAACATCTACCTCTTGGGGCTATAAGTAGAAGCCACTGTTACTATTTTTCAGCATTCAGGAGATACTGATGTGCCTGTCAGGGTAGGTGGCAGGGACACAGAAGCAACTGTTGAGAGCTCTTACACCCGCCCAGAGACCCCAGGCTGCTGGGGAGCAGACAGGAAGCACAGGCCACTGACAGAGTTCCCATGGACAGGGGGGTCCAGAGGGAGGAAGGAGAGTGGAATCCAAGTAGCCTCAGGCTGGGAGGGGCTGGACCTCCTTTGGGGAGGCACCCTTGGGGTCCTGGACTCCTAGCTGCCTGGCTAAGATGCCGGGGAGGGCTCCCCAGAGCTACAGCCCTGGGGCAGGGGGTTGGCGGGTGGCAAGGAGGCCGCAGTGGCTGAGCAGTGAGGGAGGGCAGGGAGAAGGCCAGCAGGTCGCGCAGCTATGGGCTGAGGGCTGAGGAGACACTGGGTCCCCAGGAGGCCAGGGGCCAGGGCCAGTCAGCCGCACCCTGCTTCTCCTGGGCCTCCTACGTGCTCGCGGCCCCAGACTTGATAGGAGCTGGGGACAGAGAGGACCCTCCTGGGCAGGGCAGGGAGGGCTGCTGTGGGCAGTCCTCAGAGGTCAAAGCCCTTCCAACGTGCTGTGTCACTTCAGGGCTTCACCCTGGAGGCCGCAAGAAAGCTGACCTAGTGTATGGAAATCCTGCTCTTGTCCCCTTGTGCCAGCTGGACACGTGCTCTGGCCCTGACCCACACTAGCATGTGCCCTCAGGGGTACTTCGTGTGTTCTGTGCCTTGGTTTCCCCATCTGACACAGGGGCAGATAGCCTCAACTGGTGGGTGAAGGCCTGGACCCTCAGGTTTGTTTGGCTCCGTGCTCTCTGGGCACCCCAGAACTCTATTTCCCCACTTGCCAAAGGGGTCATAAACCTGGGGTACCCCAGGCTGCTGACCCCTATCCTGGGCTTTTCTGTGTCTGTTTGAGCCCCTCGGCCACTGCACCCCCAGCCCCGGGGGATGGCAGACGCCCCGAGGTCTGACGTACACCATCCTGCCTGTCCCCAGGCACCGTCTGCGTCCTGCTCTCCTTCCCCTTCATCTTCAGTCCCTGCCTGGGCTGCGGGGCTGCCACGCCCGAGTGGGCTGCCCTCCTCTACTACGGGCCCTTCATTGTCATCTTCCAGTTTGGCTGGGCCGCCACACAGATCGCCCACCTCAGCCTCATCCCTGAGCTTGTCACCAACGACCAGGAGAAGGTGGAGCTCACGGCCCTCAGGTACCACCCGGCGGGCAGGGCAGAGGGGCGCACAGGCAGCGGCGCTGGGGCCACCCTTTTCCCGTGGGCCGTCGGCCAGCCGCTGCCACACAGGACCTGACCACAGAGTGAGCAGCTGGAAATCACACGATTCGCATCTGGTTTCTGGGCAGGAGGCTGGCGTGGCCAGCTGCAGAGGGCTGGGGTCTCATCCGGGCTTGGGTCTTCCTGCTGTGTGCATTTGGTGGCAGCAGGATTCATTTCTTGCAGCTGCAGGGGCGATGGTGACTTGTTGCTTCTCTGAGGCCAGCCAGACCCCGGGATTTCCAGGCCTGAGCGCCCTGGCTAAAGCTCGCCTGATTAGGCCAGGCCCACCCAGGATAATCTTTTAATGAATGAAGATCGTTTGAGGGCTCAAATACATCCTCAAAATCTCTTCTCCTTTGCCACAGACCATTACTTCCACCTAGGAGTGACACCCACATTCATGGGCCATCTCCGCTGGAGGGGATTAGGGCAGGACCGGGGGGCACTCTGAGGTGTCTGAGATTTCTGTCCTTTGCACAAGGTACGGCGAGTGCCCGCTTGTCTGTCAGCTTATGTGAGGCCGTTAAAAGGGTTACCCCTGATACAGCAGAAGCATTTATGGAGTGACTGCTGTGTGCCAGGCAGACAATTACTTTCTTCCCTACAACAAACCCAAGAGATCACATGCCTGCACCAGGCTTCACCAGAGTGGGCCCCTGTGCCGCTGTAGAGCAGGAAGAGGGCACAGGAACGCCGATTCCAGCAGGAAGAGGCAGCCGGGGGAAGGTGGCACAAGGCTGGCACTAGAGGCGGCGCACCTCACTGTGGGGCCCAGGACGGGCTCCTTCGGCTCTTAGCCCAGTGTCTTGTGGCTGGTCCACGTCTTCAGATCAGTCTGTTTGATACCAGCTCTGCTCAGGCTTTCTCCCCCACCCTGGCCCCCGATTCTGAGTTCCCCATTCTGGCCCTGTGCCCCAGGCACTATTAATGGGGTTACCCAATGCCGGGGCCTCCCAGGGGCCCCGGAGATGGGGCCTGGCTGGGCCAGACTGAGGTCGAGCATTTTCCACCTGCAAGCACTATACGGTCAGCTTCTGTTCCTCTTTGACATCTGGGGGTGGGCTTGTTATCATTTTCAGAAACAGAAACAGTAACAGTCCCGGTAAGACACCCCCGCCACCCCGGGCCAAACCCCAAGGGGGTGGTGATTCCAGGCTGCAGATGATTCTAGATCATGGGGCGCTGGCCCTGTTGAAGTCCAGGATGTGGGGAACCAGGAATTGCAGAATCCTGGCTTCTGAGCATCTCAGGGTCTCAGGCTTCTGCAGTTGCAGCCCTGCCTTTGCCCCACTTTGAAGTCTGCACCCCGGTCCCTGCAGCGGGGAGTTGTGGTCACAGCTGTGAGCAGCGAGCCAATTGGGGAAACCGAGGCCAGCGGGGGCCTCCCTGAGGCCTCCCAGTGTGTGAGTGGTTGAAGTCACCCGCCAGTCGGATTTTCCTCAGACACCACAAGCAGCTCTGACTGCCACCAGCTGGGGTGGGTGGCGGGGAGGAAGTGGCTGTGTGGCCCTGCTGAGCCGAGCACTCCGCCCACAGGTACGCCTTCACCGTGGTGGCCAACATCACTGTGTATGGCGCCACCTGGCTCCTGCTGCACCTGCAGGGCTCTTCGCACGCAGGGCGCCCTGAGGACGCCAGGGACCAGCTGGGGGTCCAAGATGTGCCTGTGTTCCGGGTGAGCTGGGCCCCAGGCAGGGCTGGTTGGGACACCCAAAGGCCCCGGAAGCTGGGGTTGAGGCCGTGAGGACCGCCGCTGACCCCTCCTGCTGGCTCCCCAGAACCTCTCGCTGCTGGTGGTGGGCGTGGGAGCCGTCTTCTCCCTGCTGTTTCACCTGGGCACCCGGGAGGGCCGCCGGCCACAGGCGCAGGAGCCCGATGAACACAGCCCCCTGCTGGCGCCTGCTACTGCCAGGCCCTTGCTGCTCTGGAACCACTGGCTCCGGGAACCGGCCTTCTATCAGGTGCGTCATGGGGGAGGGCCGCTGGCGCTGATGCCCCTCTCTCCCGTACTGCCTGCGGCAGGCAGGGTGGCAAACAGGCGTAAACGCAATAGCTTCTCCATGCCAACCTCTGCCCTGCCATGGGCAGAGCCACCACAGCGTCGCGTGCCGGCTGCCGGTGCGCGCCTAGACCCCAGCACCCCCGCAGGTGGGGAGCCGCTGACGCCCGGGGTCTGTCCACAGGTGGGCTTGCTCTACATGAGCACCAGGCTCATCGTGAACCTGTCGCAGGTGTACATGACCATGTACCTCACCTACTCCCTCAGGCTGCCCAAGGTGAGCTGGCAGGGTGGGCGCGGGGGTGCGGGTGGAGCGGCCCCACAGGAGCCCCGCCCAGCGTGCCTGCCCCCGCCCCCGCAGAAATTCATCGCCACCATCCCACTAGTGATGTACCTCAGCGGATTCTGCTCCTCCTTCCTCATGAAGCCGGTCAACAAGTGTATCGGGAGGAACGTGAGTGGGCACGACTAGCCAGTGGGCGCGGGGTGGGGCTGCAGGGGGGCAGCTGGGGCAGTGGGGCAGCTGGGGCTCAGGCTCGCGGCCCTTGGTGGGGCCAGGCCAAGGACTCACCTGTGCCCAGTTGACCCCTGGGGCTGGAACCACTAACTCTAGAATCCTAGATTCTGAGCGTCTCAGGTTCTCAAGACTGAGAACTAGGGCTGAGGAACTCCGGAAGCTTCTGTGCTGTCCGGTGGGACAGCAAGGTGCGTCCTAACGTTAAGCACGTGAAATGGACCTCACGCGGCGACTGGCATCGAGCCGGCAATGGCCACCCCACGCGCTGGGCAGCGGCAGCAGCGGGCTGTGCGGCTCCCAGGCATCAGCTCCACGGCCTCCGGGTCTAGGAGTTCCCTGAGGCCAGAACTGGACAGTCCGGCGTGACCCGCCTCTGCTGGGGTGGGGCGTGGGGCGAGGCCAGCGCGGCCGCCCGACGGCAGGCCCGCCTCCCCCACAGATGACCTACTTTGCGGGCCTCCTGGTGATCCTGGCCTTCGCGGCCTGGGTGGCGCTGGCAGATGAGCTGGGCGTGGCTGTGTATGTGGCAGCCGTACTCCTGGGCGCCGGCTGCACCACCATCCTCGTCACTTCGCTGGCCATGACGGCCGACCTCATTGGCCCCCACACGGTAGGGCCGGTGGGCAGGGCGGTGGGCTGGGGGCCAGAGCTGGGCTGTGGGCACTGACCTCCCTCGCCTGCTCCCCCCAGCACAGCGGAGCCTTCGTGTACGGCGCCATGAGCTTCTCGGACAAGGTGGCCAACGGGCTGGCAGCCATGGCCATCCAGAGCCTGTACCCCTGCACGTGAGTGCCGCGGCCCGGCCCCTCCTGCGCCGTGAGGAGGCGCCTGCGGGGCGCACCGGGCAGGCTCCAAGCCTGAGGAAGACCCTCCTGGGGCTCACAGGCGGGGGAGGCGCGTTCTTCCTTTCTGCGGCACTTTGTTTATTCACTCAACAAGCACTGAGGACACAGCGCAGTCGGGGAAGAGAGCCGAGAGGGGGTACTGCAGGGGAGGCTCTGCCCTCTAGAACTCGGGGATTCCGATCCAGGTGGTTCTAGACTGCCGAGTTTCGCGACTTAGAGAAGCCCCAGACCTGGGAACCAAAGCCGGCCTGGTCCCGGTCCCCAGAGCCGGGGTGCTGCCAGCCAGGGCAATCACTGCACGTAGTCCAGACCAGCGGCGACGGCTTGTTTACAGAGGCCTGGCTCTGCAGTTGTCAGGAGGGCTTCCTTGAGGCGTGGCACTGGGCCAGAGGCCCGGCAGTTCTTGGCAAAGGGGGACAGTGCCTGCAAAGGCCCTGGGTGGGGCTGGGCGGCACCCAGAGGGCAGCAAGGAGACCCAGGGCGGACACAGCATGAGTGGGTGGGAGGGTGGCGCAGCTGCGCAGGTCCCGTGCTACAGGCAGCTCAGCTTCTGCCTTCACACCCCCAGCTGTGGGCCGGGCCGGGGCGTGACTTGGGGGCTCATGGGACCTCCTGGGCTGTGTCAGGGAGGACAGATCACGTGGGGTGAGGGAGGCTGGAGCTGCGGACCGCTCCGGCCAGGCTGCCCGTGAAGGGGCGGACATGGTGGGGGCCGAGGAGGGGCAGGGATGAGCGGGTTCTGGGAAGGTGTCGCAGGCAGAGCCCACGGGCTGGATGAGGTGTCGGGGAGCCACAGGGAGTCAGGGTCCAGGGCGCTCCGGGCTCTGGCCTGAGGGCTGGCAAGGCTGCCCCCGCCTGTGCCTGCGGGGGGCGGGGCTGCAGGGTGTCTCTGGCTCTGCTCACCACTTCCCCACCACCCCCAGCTCGGAGCTCTGCTGCAGGGCCTGCGTGGGCTTCTACCACTGGGTCATGGTGGCTGTGACCGGTGGTGTGGGCGTGGCCGCCACCCTGGCTCTGTGCAGTCTGCTCATCTGGCCCATCCGCCTTCGGAGCTGTGAGTTGTGGACTCCCCCACAAAACCCCAAAGCAGCCTGGGAGGGAGGGCCAGGCAGGGAGGGGCACGTCCTACCGCCCAGAAACCCCACTCCTCCCCTTCCTCTTGCAGGGGATCCTGGAGCGCAACCCTGACTCCCCTAGGCCCCTGCTGCCGGTGAACCGGAACCGCACACGTGGACACTCAGCAGAGGCTTCCAGGGCATCCCAGCCCCGCTTCTCAGATCCTCACCCCACCCCTGCCTGGATGCAGGATTGGTGGGGGCGGCAGGAGGATGGGCAGGACCCAGTGGGGACACCTAGCCAGACCTTCTGGTGTCCAGGGCCCACGGAGCCTGGCAGGCTTGGGGTGGCCCCGCTCCCAGCTCCTCTGGAATGACCCGGGCTGCACTGTGCCGTGTGGGAGCTGGACACGGAGGGCCCAGGCCCAGAGGCGCCAGCGCTCAGCCCCAGCGCACAGCCGGTCCCCTGCCCGGCTGAGGTCTCTACAGCACCACCAGAGCCGCCTAGGACCCGGGCTGGGGGCTGGCCCAGACCTCAGCTGTGGGGCTGCTGTTTGGGGGTCATGTCCCCCTCCCGGGGCTGGGCTGCCACTGGCCATAAATGAAGTCACTGTGGACAAGGACCGCACTGCGGCTGTTTGCCTGGGGCCCGGAGGGGTGGTGGGGCGAGAGCCGGTGCCCAGGCCCCCTCACGCCAAGCAGAGGTGCCCGCGGGCTGGCAGCATGGTCTTTATCAGTGGGTGGGCGTGTAGCTGGGCGGGGGCCGCTGCCTGGTGGAGGGACAGTAGGGTTCCAGGTCCCACTGCCGGTAGCTCTGGGTGGTGTAGGGCGGGCGCTGGGGCGCCGACAGGTATGGCACGTAGTCAGACGCCCGCCACGGCGGCTCCACCCCGTACCGGTTCCTGTTGAGCACTGTGGGCCAGGACCCAGGTCACCGCCTGTCCCTGGCCGCCTGCCCCGGGTGGCCACGTCCCGCACCGCCGGCCCCGCCCGGCCCCAGCCCTGCCTCACCGAACTCCTTGCCCCGGATGGACCTGTCTCTCCACAGCGCACTCCCCCACCGAGTGCTGGGGTCCTCATACTGGGCAGGGGTGACGGGGTCATGCCAGGACGTCTCCCGCAGGCGCTGGGTGTAGGCTGAGGCGAGGGCGGGCGGGCGTCAGCCTGGGCCCCGCCCCGGCCCGCGCGCCCAGGGGCTGCACTCACCCGGGGGCATGCGTTGTTCCCGGGGGCGGTAGCAGCCGTGCCAGCGGGTGTAAGCCTCCCGGTAGGGGCTGTCCAGGGCCCGAGGGAGCGTGTACCAGGCTTCGCGGGAGTCCGAGTTGGTCAGGCCAGTGTACCACAGCTGACCGGCCGCGTCTCTTCCCATGGGGGTGTACTTCCAACATGCTGCCTGCTTGATGGCCGGTGCCCAGCGGGGTCCCTCCAGGGACAGATAGTCATCGCTGTGGAGGGTGGGGGTGAAGGCTGAGCCTGCGCCGCCACGCGCCTCCCCTCGCTTTAGCCGGCTCGGCTCGAGAATGGGCCCGTGAGCGTCGTCGCCAGAACCGAGGATACCAGGGCGTGGCCGAGGCCGGGGCCCTCTCTGTCCCCACGCTGCCGCGTCCGATACGCCCTCAGAGCTGAACCCCACAACCTGAGTGGCTGCTGGGAAACATGTTTCGCACAAGCCAGTTTCCACCGCCCACTGCCCCAGCACCCCTATTTCCTGGAAATGGAGTGGGCCGAGGGGCACGTCCATCCCCTTCTTTTTATGCTGTGCAGACTCATTTAAAGGGTTTTCCCCTGGGCTGAAGAGCCCCCACTGTCCACTGAGAGTCCCAGGAGGTGACCTGACTTGGAAATGGGGGTCTCAGCAGATGCTGCCCTTCAGGACACCGTGACACCGGCTCAGGGTGGCCCTACTGCGATGCCCAGTGTCTTTGTCAGGCGGGGAGCACACAGGGCACACAGGAGAAGCCGGGTGAAGACGGCAGCGGAGGCTGGAGCTAAAGAACGCTGGAACTTGCCAGAAGCCGCAGAGCACAGGACTCTCCCTCACAGCCTCAGAAAGAACCAACCTGCCCGCTCTGATGACTGCCCGTTTCTGCCAGGCGTCCAGTCCGTGGCAGCGGACGCTGGGTCGACTCTGTGCTGCACGCAGGGACCAGTGCAGCAGCCTCCTGAGTGCAGGGGGGCTGGGGGGTGCTGAGGAGCAGGAGGTGGGGAGAAGACGCTGGAACTGGCCAGGCTGAGGGGTAGCACGGATGTGCCTTTGGTAAAGTAGACCCCAGGAAAGCCAAGTCCAGTGAGGCCTGAAACCATAAGGAAGGCCAGGTCCAGGCTCACTCGGGGCTACAGGGGCCTACCTGAACAGAGGTGCTGGGAAGTCCACTTCCAGGGTCCCCCGGGGGATGTAGGGCCTGGCAGCCTCCCGCCTCAGGGTCTGCATGTCTGCCTCTGGGTCCTTGGCTGCGCCTGCCGAGAAGGCAGTGGGAGCATTGTTGACAGGACAAAGGCACCGGTGTCCTGGCAACCTGGGCCGGGCCACTCCCTCCTCTTCCCACCTGAGCTAGGGTCAGGATACTGGGGCTGTGGACACACCTGGGTGGGGGGCAGCCGAACCCCTCCCCCCCACACTACCAGGGTGTTCCCCACATCCCACAGAGATCTCAGCGCCACCCTGACAGGGGCTCCAGCTGGGAGCCTCAAATCCCCAATCTTCCCTTCTCACCCCCCAGCCGGTCCCACATGCATGCCACGTGTTCCAGTCCCCAGAGCAGCACAATTCACGCGCAACAGCCCATGGGCGGTGGTCACGCACGGCTGCGGCTACGCTGCCACACGGGGGCAGTCAGGGTGAGGAGGCAGCACGTGGGGAGTGGGGAGGGGCCTGGACACTCGGGCCACGCCACGTGCCCCACAAGAGCCATCCCGCACTGGCACATCCCAAGACAGAGGTGGGGTTCAGGGTACCAGGGCCTGGAGATAAATGCTTATGGGGGCCAGGGCTGCTTTTGGGGGAGACGGGATGGTCCTTAATTGACTACGGGAGGGACAACTCTGAACGCAACACGCCGCTACACCGTCAAGCGGATAAACCATTTCACAGCGGGAGCCCCACCGAGTGCGCTCGCTCGCTCGCCCCGAGCCCGCCTGGCCGCGCCTGCACACAGCCATCGGCCTGGCCCACAGCGCCCACCCAGGGCGTCTCCCTCTGGGTCAAAGCCAGGGCCCTCGGCACCACTCGGCAGCACTCAGCCCTCCGTCGTACCTGACAAAAGCCTCACGGGCACCCTCTGCCTGGCGCACTCTAGCCCGGGGCTGCTCTCTGCAGGCTCTTAGGAAGCCCCAGGTTTGAAACTGCCCTTTCTCAGGCCCCTTCCCCTCCACAGGGAAGCCACACGCGCTTCCCACCACATCGCCCGCTCACGCGGGATGCCCAGGAGAGCAGCTTGCCTGAGCCCAGTGGGGGCCCTCAAGGGGGTGGGGGGAGCTGGGTCTGCATGCTCCACCAGTCGGGCAGCTGCTGTGCAGACACCCCAAGCCCCCACGTCCCCTCCCCCACACTCCCTTCTCTGCCAGCAGCATCACCAACAGCAGGAGTCACAGTAGGAGTCGGCATCTGAGGGCCACCGACACCCACCCCTCCACCTTCCAGCCTGCCTGTGTGAGGCGCTCCCGCTATCTTCCCCCTGCCACACTGAGCACCACTGTGTGGGGACCCCCGTCTCTCCACCCGCACCTGCCCCTCCTCTTCCTCCGGCAACTGCCTGATGGTGACACGGTGGGCACCTCTTTCCAATGGCAGGGACACCCCGGCAGAGATCCACTAGACCGTGCACCTGGGACCCCAGTGTTCCCTGAAGGTGCCCAAGTGGCCTCCCCAGCCCACGGCCCAGGGCAGGCCACTCACCGAACCCTTAGCAGCACTGTTTGGGTGGGGCCAGAAGTGGGGGCGCAGGACAGACAGCCCCAACCACGCATGAACCCACAACTGGTTTAATGACGACACCGCGGTACACGAGAAGAGGCTCGCTCTGCGCCAGGGCTGAGAACACACGGCCGTGCCCGCTGGCCTTTCCACCTCAGGTGGGTGCTACCAGCCCCTAGGGCCACCCCTGGGCACTTTGGCAACTGCACAGGAAGGTGGCACAGTACAGACAGGAATCGTTTACTTAAAAAGGGAAAAAAACAAACAAACAAAGATCTTGGAGACACCCACATCTCTGTACACGTGGTCCTCACCTGTCCCCCTGGCAGGCAGGAGGCCAGGTGGGCCCGCAGGAGGGCCCTAGGCCCTCCCCAGATTCAAGCAGGTTCAATCACCCCTCCCTTCCGTGAGGCACAGCAGGCGCGCCCCCGCCCCCCAACTAGCCTTAAACATTTCTCAGACCGATTTACAAATACACAAAACAAAACCAAAGAAAAGTCACAAATACATATATACACATGCACATACATGACAAATCTGTCAGGCCCTGGGGGGCCCATGCACAGCCAGGGCAACCCGCGGGGCCCTGTGCAGCCTTCCCTGGACCCCACACTACCAAGGACTATGCAGGTCCCAGGCTGCACCCCGCCCCCCCTTCTCCAGTGGGGGAGGCGGGAGTGGGGGGGAGGCCCAGGGCACAGGGGTGCAGGTGCCCCCGCCCTGGTTCCCTGGTAGAGAGGCGCAGCAGGCAGCCTGGGGCGGAGGCACAGGGGCCTGGCGCTCAGGGTGTTTCAGGCCACCACGTCTGCCAGGAGCCAAGTTCCATCTGGGGACGGGCTGAGCTGTGAGCCCACGGTGACAGGCATGGCGGGGGTCAGGGTGAGTGTGGGTTCCACTTCGGACTTCCTTGGACACCAAGTCCTCTTTGAGATGATCTTCAGCGTGGAGCCGCCCAGCTCCCAACGCCGAGCCTCACCCAACAGTCACCGGACGGCAGCCGGGCAGCGCCAGCCGGAAGGAAACCCCGGCACTGGGCCCTCCTGCAGGGCACTCAGGGCCCGCCCGGCCTGCGCCCGCGGTCAGCTGGAGGGCAAGCGGCCCCAACAAGGCAGTGCCGGCAGACACGGCTGGCGAGGTCCTGGGTGGCGTCCACTCGGGCAGAGGTCCGCGCAGGCCGCAGGCTGCCGTGTGCAGGGAGACGGCTCCATTGCTGACGGTGCCAACCACGCCCCGCCCCAAAGAGCGGCCGACAGGGTTGGAAATCAGGTTTTAATGGCAACCTCCGGGGCGCTCCAGGCCCGGCTCCCGTCCCACCCTGGCTGCGTTCATCGGGGGCTGTGCTCAGGGGTCCATGCACGCTGACGAGAGCGGGTGGTCTTCTGACCCAGAGGGCACATCGGAGGTTTACCGGATCCTGGTGAAGAGGTTGAGAACGGACACAGATTCCTGCAGGGCACATGGAGGGGAGGCTGAGTCCAGTGCCAGCTCCGTGGCCAGGCCTCAGGGTGGGCACTAGACCGCCTCTGAGTGGAGGGCAATTTTGCCTTGCAAAAAACAGACACTGGGCTGGGGGGGCCCGGTGGGCACCTTCACCAGTGCCCCTGAGGTGTGTGGCGGCACCAAGTCTGGAGCGCTGGGGTGCCCTGGCCGGGCCGAGAGAGGGGCATGAGGGTCCCAGCGGAGACCCCCAGACATTACAGTCCAAGGGTAAGCAGGGCTGTGTGAGCGGCGGGGCACGGCCCTGGGACTGAGAAGGTGCTCGAGGGACAGGCGCTGATACCGACCCACTTTACCTTTGTTGAACGGGTTTTGCTAAAGACATTCCAGAACCTTAGGGTTTCGTCTCCAGCACCAGTGACGATGGCCTCTCCATCAGGGGACATGGCCTGGGGAAGAGAGAGCCAGCTCAGACAGAGCTGAGGCGGGGCCAGCCCACAGGCCTCTGAGAATGGGAAGGCTGAGGGGCGGGGGGCGCTGGGGTTGGAGCGTTTCGGGGAAATACAAAAACACCCCGTCCTGCAGGGCCCTCAGGCAGAGGACATGGCAGTTTAAGCACAAAACATTTTCTTCTGGAATCTGGGGAGAGGAGCGCCTCTTTCAAGCAGCTGCAAATAGTTATTTGGTAAAACTCCCTGAGGGCCCCCCCCACCCCCCGGTGGCGCAGCAGGTCAAGCGCAGCACTAGGAAGCTGTCCGCAGCTGTCCACAGCTGTCCACAGCTGTCTGCAGCCCCTGCAGCAAGAGTTCCACCTGGGCCAGGGAGTTGGCTCGGATGGCCGGCAGACCTCCCCTACCCGCCCGCTGCTCCCCTCAGCAGTGGACTTCGTCAGTCGGCCTGTTCTGCTCCCCACTCTGTCTCTGGGGAATCCTCTCACCATCCCTGCACTGCTGGCCTGAATACACCCCAGTTCTGAATGCATAAATAAAGCTTTTAAAAAAACAAAACACCCACTGAGATGACGACTGGGCAGATGTGGGGCACACCGAGTGTCGCGCACGTGTCTGCATGTGAGCAGACGTGGACTCCCCACGAGGGGACAATGCCCGGCCAAGAGGCTCCAAAGCCGACCCGAGCCCCCATTCGAAGCAGGGAGGCTCTGATGCGGGGCTCCAGGTTTGGCTGCGGCGCCCACACTCCCACCAGGCCCGGGGGCAGGAGCCCCAGTGCCCCGAGAACCCCGACGGTCAGACTCACCAGGTAAAGGACGCGATAGGAGTGGCCCGTCAGCTTGGCCACCTGGGTCAGGGAGGGGTACTTCCAGACGAGGATCTGGTTCTGCGAGTAGCCGTGTGTGCTCACCTGGGGGCGAGAGGCTACTGAGGGGACCAGCGCCCTCCCCGGCCCTGGGGAACTGGCCAGGCAGGAGAGGGAGGCCCTGGCTCCCACACACCAGACTCCCACGCTTGCGGGAGACACTGAGCTGGGTGTGCCTGGAGGAGCAGGGCGGTCACAGGCGCCCCCCAAATACTCACCAGCTCGTTGGCATGCTTGGACCAGGCCAGGTTGCACACCTGCGAGCCGGTGTCGATGCACTGCAACGGCTGGCCCGTGAGTGTGTTCCAGAAGCGAATGCAGCGGTCGGCTGTGCCACCGCCGGACGCCAGCAGCCCATGCTGGTGCGGGGACCAGGCGATGGCCTTCACGGCCGCCAGGTGCTCTGTGTACTGCTGCACGGGGCTCAGGCTTGAGTGGTTCCACACCAGGAGCTGCAGGGCGGCGAGCATGAGTCACAGGGGCTGAGACGCCTGCCCGGCGGGCCCGCAGGGGAGATGCCCCTCGGCCACCGTGGCTCTCCCCCGAAGGCACCAGTCACCCCTGCTCCGTGGAGGGGGACTGGTCAGGCAGGAGGAATGGGCCCAGGCTGGGTTCCCAGGGGCTGGGGCACCTACCTTGTTGTCGTTGCCCCCCGAGGCAAGGAGTTGGTGGTCCGTGGACCACTTGAGGCCACACACCTCCTGCCGGTGGCCCTGGAGTCGCCGCTCCGACTGCAGGGGTGGGGTACGTATGTCCCTCTGCAGGATCATGCGGTCCCGGCTCCCGGAGGATAGCTGGTCAGCGTTCCAGGCCAGCGCCCCTGGAGGCCAGGTAGAGGACAGATGAGACCAGGGTCCGGCCTCCCAGGGTTGGGACTCCTGGGGAGGATGACCCACACTCTGCCCTGGGGCCTGGGCACCGCTCACCGACGCGCGCAGTGTGACCTTCCAGCACGGACAGCTTCTTCCCTGCAGCGGCATCCCAGATCTGCACAAAGCCCTTGTGCGTGCCGACAGCCACCAGGTTCCCCTAGGACGATGGCATAGCGATGGGTATGGGGCCACCTGGGCGCTATCCCCTTGGGTGGGCCTGGACCTAGCGTCTCCCTCACTCTCCCCATCATTTCTTTCAGAACTGGGGAGAGTGTGGTGCTCTTCTGAGCTGCAAACTGCCGACACCCACAAAGCCCATCCTCTGAGGAAGGTTCGGGCCCCCTCCCAAGGCCAACTGTCCTGAAGACCTGAGGGCAGTGCTGTCCTGGGGCGGGCCTCTCCCTCTAGCCCACTGAGGCCATGGTGGCTGCTGGGGCCTTCGTAGGGAAAGAGGCTGACCCCACGTTTTGGGAAGAGGACCCCCGAGAGGTTTCCTAAGTCTCACTTGCCACCATAACCTTAACTGTTGTTTAAAGCTGAAACAGGTGGGGGCCAGGTTGGCTTCTGGCTCCTCTGACTGTCCTGGGCCCCCAACAGTGACCCTTGCCTGGTCAGAAACCCACACCAACCAGCCCAGTGGGATGCGGCCTGTGTACTGACCCGCTCAGACCAGCCCACAGAAGTCACTGAGTCGCCTTCCACCGAGAGGTCGCAGAGCCGGGTCACCTGGGAGAAAGGGGCACAGTGGGCATGAGTCCACGTGCTGCCCTGTGTCCTCCGAGGTGCCGATCTTCCATTCACTCACCATCCACTCCTTCATCCACTCCTCAGACCTACGGGCACTGGCAACAGTGCTGGAGTCCGGGGTCAGAAAGCTGGGGTGCTTGTGGCTCTGCAAGCTGGGAGGGGACCCACCGGCACAGGGACAATGACTACAGAGCCTGGACACCACACAGCAGGGGCCTTCCAGCAGGTGCAGGCCACAGGCGTGCTGGGGGCAGCAGGGGCCGGGGAAGCCCCCTCTCTGGATTCCCCTTTAGAACCTGCTTGCAGCCGGCTTTAAACTCAAAAATGGCCCACACCTGGGGGCAGCATCTTTGTGTCCTGCAGGCCAGGTCCTGGGCTCAGTGCGCCTGCAGCCACCGCAGACTTGTGCAGAGGGCGGGCGGGAATGACAGACCCGCTCCACCAGGAAGCGGTCTCTGGGTGGTCCCCGGGGCCTGTCCTGCTGTCCAGGCAGCAGATGCAGGCAGGAGGGGAGGGGCTCGGATCTCAGCTCGCACTGCGGACTGGCCTTGGATCCATTCCACACACTGAGGGCAGGGCCTGGGGGCGGGCACACGGGGGCACTCCAGCAGCAATCACTCCCCCCACCTGGCCCGCCCAGTTCAGCTGCGGCAGGGCGCTGCCCCATCGACCCACAGCACAGAGACACAGAGGCACCTGCGCACGTGTGCCTGTGCTCGCTGACGCGCACCTGGCTGGTACAGGCACTCCACAGGTACACGCAGGTCCCGAGCCCCACACTGAGCACGTTGAGAGACGACCAGTCCACTAGGTTCAGGTAGAAGTCGTCCTGAAGCTCAGGTGCATCCAGGACCTTGAAGGGGATCTTGGAGATCTTCCGAGTGGGTTTCCGTGGAGACCGAAGTAGCTTCTGACTAGAGAGTCCACCTGGGTTAGTATCACTCTTCGGCACAACCCGAGTGTCTCTTCGCAGGCAGCCCTGAGACCCCATGTGCTTTGCCCCATTTGCCTGGACCCTCTGTCCACTGCTTGTGCCTGCCCAGCCCCTTGTTGTCAGGAATTGAGCCATCCTGAGCTCTAACAGCCACATATGCCCCGCTCCCAGCACCTCCTCCAGGGCACCCTCCCTGGCTTCCTCTTCCCAATCTGAACCAATGCCAGCAGGTTCAGTGTGTGTTCGGTGAGGGGAGTTTCTTTATCCTGCTCACAGTTCTAGGACCACTCCAGGCCCCCAGCACAGCCCAGCTGGCAGCCCGCCCTGTCCCGCCCCCCCTTCCTGTGCAGCACTCAGCCTCACCTTTTGTTGCTGACGGGGGATAAGGAGTACGGAGACACGTCATTGCCATCATCAGGGCTGGAGCGCTTGGTGCTGAGGGAATACTGGGGGGAGGGTGGACATCTCTGCTGGGCAAAAGCTATACTCCAGAGGTCAGGAGTCTCAGACCCCCAAACCTTGGCACCCTGCATTTCTGACATGGCTGGGAAGGCGAATCCAGGGCACTTGTGGAAGGGTCTCTGGGTTCTAGGAATGCAGGGACGAAAACGAGGTTCCTCCCCAGCAATGCTGCCAGCTTTCTGGCTGTCCTTCTGGCCTCTTTGAGGTCACCGTCCCCTCAGGTGCCTCTGAGGGTCCTAAGCCAGGCCTTTTCCAACAGCCCTGGTCAGCAGGGGGGTAGTGTGTTGGCCTGGACACAAGGCACCCCTTACCCTGCACTCAGCTGCTGGCTCCCTGGCTGAGCAGCTGTCTGATCTAGGCTCCACTGTTTCTGGGCTTCTGGGCCCCGGTAGGCCGGGGCGGCGGGAGAAACCCAGGGAGGGCAAGCGTGGTGCCTGGGGACAGGCACGCAGCACAGCAGGCAGGGCGGTGGGGTCGCCTGTCTCGGCTGGGTGCCTGTCCCCCAGAGCTGCTGGAGAGGATCCTCCGTCCCCAGCCAGCAGAGGCAGTGGGCTGGGAGACTGGGGCTCACCGTGAAGAGCCCCTTTTTCTCGGGTGTGGAGGGCTGCAGCCTTCGGTCCTCGGTCTGTGGGTCCTGCACCTTCTCGATGCCAGCTCCTAGCAGCTCATTCTTCAGCAGGGCAGAGTAGGCCAGGCCATCTGCAGCATCACACATGGTGAGGGGGACAGTGGTCCTGGGCCAAACACAGGGTCTGGGCTGGGGCCTGATAACTGACCTTTGCCGTTATCCGAAGTGGCGTCCTTGGCTTTCCGATTCTGACTGGGTGACTTCTCATTTTCCTTCGGGGAGGGAGAGACAGAATGCCCGTACTGGCCATGAGCTGGCCCCTGCCGCAGGCTGTGGTCAGTGCGGCCCTTCTCCCTGCCCCAGCCCTGCCCCTCACATTGATTCTGTGGAAATTCACACTCCAGTTGGCACCGGCTCTTGACGGGATGAAACGGTCTCCATGCTTGCTCGGGGAAGACACAGGGGAGTTGGCTGGCGTCAGGGTCCGCCGCATCTCCGCGACCTGAAGGATGGCAGGGCGGTGCTCGGTGCCTAAGTCCCCCGAAGCGTACCGTGAGGCCATTTGCCCCTCAGGCCCCTCGGCCAGGCCTGTCAGTCAGCCCTCCTGCCCTTGGCCTCTGCCTACGCATGGGAGTTTGACCTTGGGAACAAGGGACAGCCAGCTGCCGGGCGTTCAGTAAGTAGCTTGTGCTGGAGTCCTGCCGCGGTGCCCCCAGGCCTGGTTAGCTCTCCCACTCGGATCTGGGGCCCTCATTGGCCCCCTTAAAGCTGGAAGGCTCACGTCCCTCCACTCCCTATTCAGACCTGGGTGCCGCCCCAGGGGAAGGACCAGCATGGCGCACAGTGGGATCAGGCCAGTCTGAGAGCAGGTGCCCTCGACAATGTTTGGGGCTCACAGCGGCAGAGGGGCAGAGAGTGCTGGACTGGCTCTCTCCCACATGCGGCTGTACCTTTTGCTCTCCCACACCTTTGTTCTCCAAGGCTGAAACTCCCAGCTCAAGGCTGCCCCGGCCCCCAGTGCCGTGGCTAGGGCCAGGCACGGGCCAATACTCACACCAGGCATCGTGTTTTCATTCTGGATGACAATCTGTCGGAGCAGGCGCCTCTCATAGTCCTGGTCCATGGTGGGCGGGCAGCCGTGGTCTGCTAGCCAAGTTTAACCAGCCAAAGTCAGCCTGAGGCAGGAGAGCAGGAGGGGTCAGCACTGATGGGGAGTAGCCCCACCGTGACCTGATGACCAGGGCACGCCTTGGCATGTGGCAGGACCCTCCCTTGAAGAAGCCCAGGATGTGGAATGGGCCACACCCCACAGTCCCTGGAAGCCAGAGGGAGACCCAGCAGCAGGAGGGGGTACCCCCAGGGCTTCCTCACCCTTGTCCTCTTAAGGCAAGATTCCTGACCTATTCCTGGCCCCCAGGGTCTCACTCTGAAAGGGGAAAGGACGTCCTGACTGAACGCTACAGACGCAGGGTTTGCGCTTCGCCCCACCCCAGACACCGGAGCTACAAGTCCCGGCATCACAGACAAGCACGCTGGGACCTGCGGGCGGCGTTAAACAGTTTGGATGTAAGGCTGGACACGTGGGCTTTGGGGGTCGCTCGGCCTCGAGGTTTGTCTCCTGGCTCTCCGCCAGCTTTCAGCGTGCTACTGGGGTTCCAGGTCAGTGGAACTGGCAGGACGCATTAGCCAACTTGTCTCTCTCTTTCCCTGAGTCACTCATTTCCGTCTCTCGTGTCAATAAATCCGCTGCACCTGCAGTTGAGTCTTAAGCACACACACAGGTGGCGGCCAGTTCTCATTGGGTGGCCCTGTAACAATTCCAGATCCCCTTTCTCCAACCCATCTTGTCACCTTCCTGCTTTAGACACTCGGGGGCCCCAAACCTCCTGGGAGGGGCCGCTGCACTAAGCACATTTATTCTTGCCCCCAGTCCCAGAGATGGAGATAGGAAGACTAAGGGAGGCAGCAATGCCCAAGGCCACGTGCAAGATCAGGCAGCGGCCCCCACCCTGCCTGAGAAGCAGCTACAGCATTCAGCCCCTTCATCTGGGGTCGAGTTCTGGGAGCTGTCTCTTCAGGACCTCGGGCTTTCTGCTCTCTGTGCCCATGCCTGACACTGTCCCCAGACGCCTTCTGTCTCCTGTAGGCTGCAGGGCAGCATGGGAAGCTGAAGTGGCTGGGGGCGGCCTCATTTCACCTTGGGGCCAAGGCCACTTCCCCAATCTCCACTCTGTTCTCCCTGCTGCCCAGTCAACTCAAAGTCCACCCACAGGTAAGCCCCAGTATGCACTCCACTCCCTTCCCCTCTACACCCCCCTGCTGCCCCAAGTTCTGGGCCGTGCTCGGTGTCCCCACCTGTGTCCTCATCACACCTGACTACTTCCGGGGCAGCAGCCACCTGAGGACAGGGGGGCGCGGTATAGGGTCTGTCATCGCTGGAGGCCCATTTGGAAGGCAGCTTCCTAAGGGCAGCTCCTGCTCATCTTGCTGCCGCAGTGCCAGGCTGAGGGTAAGCCAGACCTGAGCCGCCGGAGGGCCGGTACCCAGCCTCAGGAGCCCTCTGAGAGGGGCTCATGGGCAGTGGGGGTGCGGGAGGTGGAGCAAAGACGGAACAATCAGGGATCCCTCCTAACATATCCCTGTTTCATCAGGCACTTTCCGAGAATCAGGACAGGCAACTGACCTCCAAATTTCAGACGAAGAAGCAAGGCTCAGAGAGGCTGGACCGCTTCCCCGCTGGCCCTGCACAGGCACAGCGAGCCCTTGATAGACCAGGTGAAGGATGTCCCTCTCCAGTCTGCCAAGGACCTGCATGCTGCCCAGTCACCACGGGCAAAGTGAGCCAGCTGGGAAAGAGCCAGCAGCTGCAGTGCCCAAGCGGGCAGGCTCCAGACAAGAACAAGATGCCTCTGCACCCCAGAAACTGACCAGACACCAAAGCTGTGGCCACCTGGACTGCTGCGAGGCGGTGGCGGCTTTCCCGGAGGAGGAAGAGGGCAGCGCCAAGACCGCCAGTGTCCCAGGGTCACGGCGCTAGGCACACACAAGTCCAGCAAGTGGGCAGGGCAGCGCCCCTCCGTCAGCCCCGCTCGCCGGTGCTGCCGCCCCACCACACGTGTCTCTCCTGAGGGTGAGGGAGGCTCCAGACGTGCCCGCCACCTCACATGGCACAGGGACTCTGCAGGGGCCTGTCCGAGTCCCTCAATAAAGGCTGCTAGGTCCGTGGGCTGTCACGAGGCCTTTCGGGGGAGGCCCAAGGCCAGGAGTGAAGCCCCGCAGAGCGGGAAAAGCAGGGCTGGGCCCCTGCAGCCTCCACACTGGGCCACTTCCCTGCAGGTGTAGGCTGCGACCACCAGGACTGTCAGAGGTGTAAGTGTCAGTCTGTAGCTTTAAGCTCCCGATGGTCCCTGCTGTGACTGTGGTACTGTCCCGGCAGCCCTCAGGACACTCACGAATCAGGCGGAGGAGGAAGCCCGCACACGGCCTCTCCCACCGAGCTCGGGGGCATCTGAGGCCACCTCTGCCCAGGCCTGCGCTGCTCACGGCAGATGCCCACCAACTGTTCCTTCTGGCTTTCCTGTCGGTGCCCCGACCCTGGGGTAAGAGTCTGAGTGGGGGCTGTGGCTTTCCATGCACTGCTGTCTGCCCTCAGGCCCAAAGCCACCCAGCTAGAGCAATGACAGAGAAGGTTCCAGGCTCCCTGCTGAGTGGGGCTGCAAGCAGGAAATAAGTAACTCAGTAATGAAGAAAATTTTGGGGAGGTGAAACTTGCAACTGGGAATCAATTTTAAGGGGATCCAATCACTTGTTGACTAAGGATGGGGGGCAACTAGAAAAGTGGGGGGCCACTGATCCCAACACCCTGCCCTGGATAATCTCCCCAAGACCTGAACCAGTAGAGGGGTCCATGGCCTGGGTAAGGGTGGAACAGTTCTAGGACTGAAGCTCTGAGCTTATACATCAGGTGTCAGCTCACATGGTGTGTGTGTGTGGGGGGGGGTCTGCCTTGCTCACCAGGGGAAAGAGGCTATTTTAACCCAACACCCTCAGGAATACCCCAGTCAAACCCTAGCCGACCCCACTCCTCCTGGGGCGGAGAGAGCTGCTGTGGTCAAAGACCTCGGAGGCACGCCGGAGTGGACAGCTTCAATGGGCTTAAGATGCACACACAAACTTGCTGGTGCTAAAACTGCATGGCCAGGCCTGCGCGACAGCCCAGACCCCTCCTGGAGCTCAGCCAGTCGCAGACTGGCCCGTTCTAGGGACCCACGGCATCCAAGACCATGTCTCAGACCCATTCTGGGCCTCGTGGCAGCCACACTCACTTCAGCTCCAGGTCCCCAGCTGCCCTCTCCAAGACTGCTGTGCCACAGACGAGCACTCGGAAGCTCTGAGGGAAAAGGCTGACCCCTAACTGACTATGAAGAGAGAAGAACATATCACAAATGTGAAGCAGCAAACGAACTCTGAGAAGGCCTCAGTCTGGCATAACTGCCTCGGAACATGCCTGCATAGAAGTGTGAAGTAACAGCTATAATCATGCCTGCTCGTTTAAAAAAAAAAAAATCAACAGATTATGTAAAACAGCAACACAATAAAAATCGAGAAAGTATAAGACCACTACAACTTAAACCAGTGAACCTAAAAAATACTACAACCAGGCCCTCCCTGGTGGCGCAGTGGGTTAAAGCACAGCACAAAGAAGCTTAAACCTCTTCCGCATGAGTTCGATTCCCGCCTGCCCCGGAGGTGACCACAGGGCACAGCAGACCTCTCCTGACCCGCCCGCTGCTCCCCTCAGCAGTGTACTTCGTCGATCTGCCTGTTCTGCTCCCCACTCTGTCTCTGGTGAATCCTCTCACCCTCCACATCTGACCTGTACCCCAGTTCTGTATGCATAAATAAATAAATCTTTAAAAAAAAATACTACAACCAAATTAAAAAATAAGAGGACCTCAGCAGCAGAGAAACAGAGGTAAGGAGAGAACTAGTACGCTTGAAAGCACAGTGGTGGAGGACACACACGACAGAGAAATAACACCCGTAGGGAAGGACAAGAGAAAGGCACAGAAAATTTATTTTAAAGAAACAATTGCTGAGAACTATCTTCATCTGGGAAACAAACCAGATATCCTGAACCAAACAGTAATACTAGACCAACAGGCTCCAACTACATTATACATAAATCCGTGGCAGCCAATGACAAGGTAAGATTATTAAAAGCATGGAGAGAAAGATGAGTAACCAATAAAAGACTGGACTGGACTTAAAAAAAAGATATATTTATTGATGCATACAATAACTGGGGTACAGGCCAGAAGTGGGGTGTGGGGGTGAGAGGATTCACCAGAGACAGAGTGGGGAGCAGAATAGATCCACTGAAACTCACTGCTGAGGGGAGCAGCGGGGCAACAGGAGAGGTCTGCAGCGCCCTGTGCGTCAGCTCCCTGGCCGGGGATCGAACTTGTGCTGCAGTGGCTCAGAGAGCTTCACAGCCCACTTGCGTACTAGGGAGGGTCCTTCACGGACCTTTCAGAGGAAACCTTACAGGCAAGAAGAAATGGTAGGAGATATTTAAAGTGTTCAGAGAAAGCGACTTCCAACCTAGGACACTTAATTGTACAAGATTATCATTCAAGACAGAATGAAGGGTAAAGAGCTTCACGGAAAAGCTAAAGTTGAAAGGATATATCAGCAATAAGATGGACATGAAAGAAATACTAACAGGGTTATTATAAAACAACAAAAAACAAATATAGAAGAGTCATCCGAGTTGCATGGGAGTAAAAAACTGTGGCTCATTAGAATGAGTTTTAGCTGAGATCATTCAATAGGCCACAAAAACAGTCCACCATATACTAATCTCAGCAGAACTGCAAACAAATTGAGAAGTAACATAAGACAAATACAACTTGAATAAACCATAAAAGGGAAACATCAAAAAATAAAGTCAAAAACAAAAACACCATACACACACAAGACAGTAGCACTTAATGTCTCAATAATCAGCTTATACAAAATGACTTGAATTCACCAATGAAAAGATTCAGAGTTGAGCGAATTTCAACACAAAGTCCAGCCTTCTGCTGTTTATGGTAACTCTTCCTACCGCCAAAGACAAGCACAGACTACGTGTAAATGACTATCCTAGACGCAAACGGCACTCACAGCTGTCACACGCCGATACTCGTATC